AAAGACATTGCTTAATGTTTGTTTCACGTTTGACTTTGATTTACAAGAAAAGTATACAAGTCTCAATTATAGCAATAATTGCATTAAATACTTAATATATTTAGGTTTCTAATGCATATTGAATCATTAATCTAGTATTTATAGTTTTTGAGAAAATCGTTAATATCTAAAGACATTGCTTAATGTTTGTTTCACGTTTGACTTTGATTTGCAAGAAAAGTATACAAGTCTCAATTATAGCAATAATTGTATTAAATACTTTATATATTTAGCTTTCTAATGCATATTGAATCATTTATCTAGTGTTTATAGTTTTTGAGAAAATCGTTAAAATCTAAAGACATTGCTTAATGTTTGTTTCACGTTTGACTTTGATTTCCAAAAAAAGTATACAAGTCTCAAGTAAAGCAATAATTGCATTAAATACTTTATATATTTAGGTTTCTAATACATCTTGAATCATTTATCTAATATTTATAGTTTTTGAGAAAATCGTTAAAATCTAAAGACATTGCTTAATGTTTGTTTCACGTTTTACTTTAGTTTACAAAAAAAATATACAAAAGTATTACTTCCAACGATAAATCGCACTAATTATGAAAAAAAAAACAATTACTGTAGACATAATAAGGTCATTAGGTAAATGATAATGAAACAGTTTAAGTGAAGCCAAGTATTGAAGTGTATTTGAATATGTGCATAGCGATGAAGAGCAGCTTATTGTTTCTGATAATTTTCGCGCTTGCAGTTGCGAATTCGAAAAGCCGTAAGTGAGATAGAATTTGAATGCGTACGTGATTATAACTTTTCAGTATGTAAACGTCTTAGAAACTCCAAATGAAGTGCCTAACACAATGATCGAGTTAGATGAAGCATGGGAAAGGAAAGATATTATTACGGTATTCAAAATAAAATAAAATATAAAAATGTATTTTGTGTTTAACGATAACAAAATTTTAGGTGCTGTTCAAGATGCTCGACTTGTACGAAGATGCGGTGGATAACGACGAGAATTTCGTTATAAAGGATGCAATTGTATGCATCAAGTTTGTCCTGAAGAAGATCTACCCCATCTACGTGACGATCTACCCGGAAAAGAAGTCTCCTAATGATGAGACCTCTCTCAAGATTGTGAGCGATGCTATTGACAATGTTGATTACGCGAAAGACGTGTACAGCGATTTCGAGGAATTAATGATGGATGCCGTACAAGATTATCTTCGGTCTTAAGCCCAGGGCTTGGTGAGGCCCTCGCTGAAGTGACGATCGTTGTCTCTCAAATAAATAACGCAATCGTCTATGTTCTCCTTGTTCTTTGTCTGTCCCTTCAGAAACCTGAGGATCAGGTAGTTGTTGATGTTCGTGGCGACTTGCGGGTCGATCTTCTTCATGAACCAATTCAGCCAGTAGCCGACGAGGAAGACGGAATCCGTTTGCGATTCGTGCGTCGAATTTCTGCAAGAAAAGATGAGGATGGATGTTTTATTAACGTTTTCTTTTGAGCTGTAGTGACGTACAGAATCGTGAACATCCGTCTGGTCTTCTCGCCGGTGAGATACGGCTCCATGGCTTTCACGTTGTTGACGATGTGGAAGGTGTACGTGTTCACGAAGATCAACGGTTTCGTCACTTTGCTGTCCAGATGTTCTTCCTTGATCGGATACATCCACGGATCGAGAAGAATCCCTTGCCTTTAATTGAAGAAAGATGCAATTACCATCATATAATCTAAAGAGATTTGTTAAAATTGATTACTTGAATTCTTCGCGACGCGAAAGCGCGAGCAAAGCTGTGGCTCCGCCGAAAGAGTGACCGCCGACGGAAAGACTCTCCACGTCGATCTTCCCAACGAGATCGCTCAGCTCGAATTTGATTTCTCTTCGGGTCGGAACATCCGTAATTACATTGTGCGGAACTTCGCCTCCATTCAGAGCCAAGAAGAAGTCCAAAGCTTTGCACACCTCTCCCATCCGATAATGAACCTATGAGAGAAAAGATACAAATCGAATTAGAAACTTCAAAACAATCAAATCCAAGCAAAATACCTGCTCTTTCCTCAACTCGAAATGTCCGTTTCCCAACTTCTTGTGCTTGAACTCGATGCTCGTCTTCTGGTTCGCTTTCGCCGCCGCCTCGGACTCGAAATAATAAGTGTGACAGGAAGATTGGTCTCTGCGCAAAGACAACAAATCACTTATGACTAACTTACACAATCTGAAGCAAAGATTATATAACCTGTGCTCTAAAACCGCCACCAGATATCCTCTGGACGCCAACTCAACGCAAATGGAAGAGTAGAAACTCCTCAGTGCTCCCAAACCGTGCGAGAAAATGATGCAATTCAGTTTATCCGTAACTCTGGCTTTGGCTCCGTACACCGCCGGAATTCTAGTATGACCTTTAAACAAATTGTAAATAAACTTTCAACTAAATATTTGCAACTTACCTGAGTAATTCCAGGCTAAGTTGAGAAAGAACGAAGGAAGCATCGTCACGGTGGACAACCCCTTTATGTAATCCGCGTCAGGTATGATCGGAATCCAAGAAGCGTGATTCGTCTGCAAAAATTGCACGAAAAATAAGTAATGATCGTTGACAAATTTAAGTATATTTTCTTTTACCTCGATGCTGACTGTTTCTTCCGTTGGGTAATAAACTCGCATAAATAATCCATCTTTCGAATAACCCAACATCACGTCCATCACGCCAGGAACAAATTTACCTATATTAACAATAAATTAATACACATAATTACCCAATATTTGCTATACCGTTAAGATTATTGTGTGTATTGTGTAATATTCATTGAAATTAAAAATGATTTCTTTCCAGTTTTACTCAAATTTTCTAGAAAAGTATATGCATAGCAATTATTCCAATGAACGCATTGAATACTATATGAAATTAGGTTTCAAGTGCATTTTTTAAACTTCGAACACGAATTACAGCCAAACGGCTAAAACCACAGCAATATATCGATACTTGCTAGATTCCCCAAATATTCAGCTTTCATATGCATCTTTTGGATTAATTCTATGTATTATAGTTTTCGAGAAAATCAATGAAATGTAAAAACACTGCTTTTTCGAGCATTTTTAAACTTTGAACACGAATTACAGCCAAACGG